GTTTTAGGTAGGTGTGGCTAACTCTTAACTTTTATAAAGAATATCTCTTTGGATTTGAGACTTTAGTCTTTGCAGCTTTACAGATCTTCTTTATGCACCAAGAGCTTGTAACACTCCAAAGAGAAAGGAAAACTTGAAATCGCATCATATGACCCCTTTAAGATTCAATTAAATTCCCATACTGCTTTCTGCATGTTTGCTTCACACAAGCTTAGAAAAATTAATAGCTCATTTGAAATCTGTGTATAAATTAGAAACTATATTTAAATTAAAATGCAAATTATGCAATGGCCACATTTATCAGCCTTAAATCTAACTCAGAAGAAACTAAAACCAGTTCCACTTTTATACAAATTCAAACATTTACAGAAATATCATTACTGTGCATACTGAAGAAATTCAGATGAAATAGTTTCAATTCACAGCACTTAATTATCAAGCCGTTAACCATTTTAGGTAAAAAAGCATGAATGCACAACACGATAAAGGGAAAATCTCACATTCCCAGAGGCTAAAGATTACTCTCAAGCTTCTTAATTCATTATGTTTATTCACAGCAAAGCCATGGAGAAATGCAGGTAGACTTTAAACACAATCATTTACAATACACACATATTCAATGCAATTATAATTCAGTTCAAAGCAACTGTTCATTAAATAACACTATGTAAAAAAAATAACATAACCCTGTATCTGAATGTAGTTTGTTCCAAATATGAACAAAGTCTTCAATGAGAATTCCCAGTCGATTTGATAAGGAATAATTAGACCATAAATTTGACATAACATGCATTTATGCAAGTTCCATTCAGTTGTTCTTCTCATTATGTACTGGCCTCGTCACATAATGACATTTAAAACATAAGCCCCTAAAATAGAGCTTAATGAACATAAATTAACCTGTTCTAGTTCTAGTGGACATGAACACTGATTTACACACCGTGAAGTGAGGGAAGAATATTCCTAAACAGTTGCACGAGCAGAAATTACAGTATGAGCTTGTGAATAAACAGCAAAAGAAGCGTCACGTCTGCAAATGGACTGAAATCTAGAAATTCTAACTTGTGCATCGTCTCCTTTCCAACAAGTGCATTAAAATAAAGCTTGAAATGCTGTATTTTTAATTAACGTTGAATTTTGCCACTGTAGCGTTCCTCTTCAGATTACACATCTGAATCTACAACCAAAGCTAAAGGATTCTTATAATGTCTTATTTAAAGCACAACTTGCAATTTGTCCTAAATAGACTTGAGTTCGTACCATCTAACGCCACGCATGACACAGTTTCTGCTTTGTTTTTTATTATCTCAATGAACCTGAATAACTTCTGGTGCCTAATACTGTTCAACAGTTATATCACTCCATTAAAGGCGTCACGGCATGAGAAATATAATGTTCCTCGATCTTTTGACATATAAGAGGTCTTTGTACCTTTAAAACATCCTGCAAGTTTCACAGCTTAATCCTCATTAAAAACAAAGCGTTTAATCAAGCTCAAAAGCAAATCCATGTCACGACTCCTTTAAGGGAAACCAAGCACAAGTCAGTTACTAGTTACTGTAAACTAATAGAGATTAACCCACCGGTTAAATACGCTGCAGGCCAACTCTTACTCGCATTGTAGGTCCTCACGCGTCGTTCGAATGTGAATGTGTGACAGATTATTTTAGGGGTTTTGTCTCTATTTGTGTGTGTTTACAGCACACTTTCACTGGTTAGATCTTCTAGCTTTTTCCTAGAACAGAAACAGAATAAATATGAGCGCACACAGTGTTCCAGCACAGTGAACAGGTGTAGTTGTGAGTGAAATCACCTGTTGAACGCTGCTGTGATCGGGTCGATCTGTGCTGCAGATTTCACAGCCGGGTCTCGTAGACTTATTTATGAACGTACAGGATGGACAGGACCAGCCTGACTAAAGAGAGAGAGATGAAAATCAAACTATTCGTTATATAATCCAACAATCTGCTTTTGTTACGTACATTCAACTGGAAGACTGTGTTTTTATGCAATGTTTTCTACGTGGTTCGTGATTATGTGGATGCGGGCTACTTATTTACAATCTGTCTGCATTTGCTGTAGTGTCTAGAAATGTGAAATGTGAATGTATGTAATTATTACCTGCGTGTTACTTGATTTCAGTTTGGATCCAAGTTGCAACATCTCGAGGTTAATGATGTCACTGACGCAGGGTTTCTCTGGGCCACACCCACTGCTGCCTGCTGACCAATCAGAAACACGCACTGAAGCAAGCAGTGATAATGATGATGGAAACCGAAAGAGGAACTGGAACATTAACACACTACCGTTCAGAAGCTGGGGTCAAAATATTTTGTTTTTGTTTAAAAGAAATTAATTATTTTATTCCGCAAGGCTGCATTAAATTGATCAAAGTGACAGTAAAGGCGTTTATAATGTTACAAAGGATTTTGATTTCAAATAAATGCTGCTCTTTTTAATTTTTTATTCATCTGTGAATCCTGAAAAACAAAATATATCACAGTTTCCACAAAAATATAACTTGTTTTCAACATTGATAATAATCAGAAATGTTTCTCGAGCAGCAAATCAGCATATTAGAATGATTTCTGAAGATCAAATGATGATGGAAACCGAAAGAGGAACTGGAACATTAACACACTACCGTTCAGAAGCTGGGGTCAAAATATTTTGTTTTTGTTTAAAAGAAATTAATTATTTTATTCCGCAAGGCTGCATTAAATTGATCAAAGTGACAGTAAAGACGTTTATAATGTTACAAAGGATTTTGATTTCAAATAAATGCTGCTCTTTTAAATTTTTTATTCATCTGTGAATCCTGAAAAACAAAATATATCACAGTTTCCACAAAAATATAACTTGTTTTCAACATTGATAATAATCAGAAATGTTTCTCGAGCAGCAAATCAGCATATTAGAATGATTTCTGAAGATCACGTGACACTGAAGATGCTGAAAATTCAGCTTTGATCATTTAAGTAAATTACGGATT